AACAGAAATTGCAGATGTGCAGATGACCACTGTTTTTTGTGAGCATCATGACAGTAAATTCTTACCAGCATAAAGAAAGGAAACAATTTATCATTGAAGGTTTTGATGATTTCTTTTATAGAAAATGTTGATTTGTGGCAGCTTAGACACCAAAGGGAATAAGGAAAAAAATAAAATAGAGGTATAGAGTTAGGAAATCAGAGCACTAGTGCTAATGCTGCTGTAGAGCAAGGCATTTTCACCATGTTAAAACTTGGCTCTGTGGAGACAGGATAAATTCTTCTGACTCCAAAAATACAGCTTTACATATGGTAACCAGATAAAGGGCTTCATAATTGTAATACGTTATATTGCCATAGTTTTAAATTTTCTGTGAAAGTTTTCTGCCCCCTCCCCCACAACTTTTATAGTGACAGATGTCTGCTTCATTGAACTTAGTGTTTTATCTGTAGTCAACACAGTTGATGTTCTGTCAAGCATGTTAAGAAGGCTGAAGCCTTAAAAGCCATCTATGTGCTCTACTGCTTTTCCAGCAGATTTTTTGCACAATTGAAGCAGATGTTTCTTCTCAATATTGTCTTTCTCCATATGTAGTCATTTAATACATCTGGAAGAACCATGCAGCCATGTGATATGCATTAATACAAACCAAGCTGTGTGTAACTTAAACAAGAAAAAAAGCCCCTTGGAGAATTGGGAAGGGAATTGGCAATTACGTCTCATAACAGACTTTTGAATCTGAGTTGTGCTTCTTCTATTATGCTTTTTTCAAAAAGGAGGCTGCTGGATTTTTTCAGAACAACTCTATTCATCTTCAGTCATTAAACAGCAACAGTTCCCTGATGGTCTGAAAGCAAAGGATTATAGTAGTTTCTGGATAACAGTTTCTTTGAGAGATGTTTTTGGGAGTGTTCATTTGGAATAAACTAATGGTTTGTCTGTTTTCCTAGGAACAGAGATCAAAGACAAATTAAGATGTTATGACTTTGATGTACACACAGTGAAGACATTAAAGAACATAATTTCACCTCCTTGGGATTTCAGAGAATTCGACATAGAAAGACAAACTCTGGATGAAAGTGGCATAGTAACATTAGAGACATCAAATCAAAGGAAAAGTACAGATACCAGTCGCCCACTGGAAGAAACATTTGAGATTGAAATGAATGAAAGTGATATGATGTTAGAAACGTCAATGTCAGACCATAGTACGTGACCATAAATACTGGTAGAGAGTTCATTTTGTCTAAGTGTAGTATGTTTGTTTTAGCATTTTTGTTTTGGTGTTAAACTTTCAAGAATTTGCTATTTTTTATATGAATTCAAATGACTATGTACTTAACACTGGGAGTTTTATAGTTTCTACTTTATAAATATTCCTTTCCTGATAGCACTCTCATGAATCCCCATCTGGATCCAGAAGACTTCATTGCATCGATGCAGGCCATATACATAGTACTGTAGTATACAGGGTATTGGCTATTTTGCACATGTCCGTGCATTACTGAACATGAGTTCAGGTTTTAGACACTACTGCACTTTAAAATTCAAGGGTATTGAGTGCAGAAAAGCTCGTGGAGGAGTCTCTGTTTTAACAGCAATTGCACACACTCTCACTGTTGAAATCTGGTTGGGTCTAGGCGATCCCATTGCTTTCATATGAGCACCAACACAGGAGTGTAGAGAAGTCTGGTTCTGTCCCAGGGACAGTGGAAATTCTGCTATGGCTTCACGGAGGGAATTGGAGGTGCCCAAGTTTCCCTTCCATACGTTGAAACATAGGGATTAGGGTCTGCATCGAGTCTGCATTCTATACCAATCCTGTATTCTTAGATGCGAGAAAGTAAGGTGAACAAAAATGTTTTACTTCCTAGTTCTAAAGTACTTCACACACGTTCTCCTGAAAAATATGGGATGAGCCATGAGTCTTAAGTGGAAAAGTATCCAAGGAGAGTGTTGGGAAAATTAATCATTTAGGAAGCATATGCATCTCCTGGCCACCATCAGGTCTTTCTCCTTCATTGTGGCTGGCAAAAAAGTTCATACAGAGAAATTTATTTTCTTTTGGAACCTGGTAGTTTGTGTGTGGCTCAGTTGACTTCTTTGAGGTAAACTGGGGGTTTTTCCTGGACACTCTTGAAGCCTTTATAATGAGTGTGTCTCAACAGCTACTCTATTAGGCAGGTCTCATCCTTTAAAGAATCTTTTGATGGTTATTTTTACATCTGTGCTTATGTAACCTGAATGATTGTAACCAGGGCCATATCACTTATAAAGTTACATCAAAGGCTTGTTGTTGCACACAGAGCAGCCAGAAGGATATTCCCAATAGATTCTCAAAGAGCCAAACTCCTTTTTCTCTAGAACATTATTATTTTTAATCCAGCATATGTGAATCTAGTTTTCTACTAAGACATTGTGGCAATTTCTACATGGAAGTTGGAAAAACAGTCTTCTAGCAAATCAGGCCTTACTGTCAGACATGGATATAAATCTTGCATTGTTTCCTTTTTTCTATGTTACTACTATTTTCATTGACAAATAGCTTTAAAGATTGATAAAAGTTGATATTTCTTCCTGCACTGTCCAGTTACGATCTGATGGTATGTTGGCTGTGATGGCAATACAGGTTTATAGTATTCCTCCTTGCCTGTAGGAATCTACTTACCCCTGTGCTGCTTCCTCAGCTGTGGTAGTAGAAATGTTTGTTTGGTGATGATGTGAATGAAATCAGGGAACTGGACCGGCATTTTAAAACATTTTCTAGATCTGATCAATTCTCAGGTTCAAAGAGAGCAAGCCACTGGTGTGTTACTTGTCATCAGTGGGGCAGAATGGTAGGAATGGGAAGAAACAGATGGAATAGCGAGAATGGGCATTGCTGTAAAGGCAGCATATCATGACACTGTGCCTTGACATGTATCTGCTAGAGGTTTTGGGGCTGGCTTTTGCTAGCCTTCATTTATTTGTATTAAAAGTTACCTAGAAAGAAATGTATGCAAAGTGCCCTACATCATGAGCAACATTTCTGGATGTTAGAGAAATTCTTGATATGGCTTGGCTTGGCTTGGCTCCCAGTCCTTTAGGCAGCTACAGTTAGGTTAGAGCTTGTGTTTTCTGATGTGTGTCTCAGACAGAACTTTAGGGAAAGTTTCTCTCTCCTCATTTCTCTTCTGTTCAATGTTTTGATCTGCTCTTGTTCTGTCCAAATCCCTGCTATTGTACTGGCAGCTCCTGCTTGCTCTAGTCTTCTGCACCTCACAGCACCTGTCCTGCTCCAGTCCTGCTCTTGCCTGGACTCTGCTTCTTAGATAGTGCTTGGTGCCCTTCTGGGTTATTATGACATTCACCCTGGCTCTAGTTAAACTGAGTATTGTCCTTGGCCTCATGAGGCCTTTGGTTATTAATTTTGGCGTGACTTGACCTCAGATTCTTGATTCTTGCTTCAAGTCATTGCCTCTTGGCTTTGGCTGCTTGGTACAAGGATCCAGGACTGTCAGGTTGGGTGACTTATCAGTATGCCCCCAAAAGAGACATCCTTACTCTGTCCCATAACTTCATCTCTCTCTTGAAAGGATCAGTCTTGTCCTGGAGTGGGGAGACCTGGCTGTTACCTTAAAGGTTTTCAGAATAGATATGAAAACCCACAAGATATTTCTGCTGCCAATGCTCCAACAGTTCCATCGTAGGTACTGCTGCCTAAAAGATTTGAGGAGGAATAACGTTAGCTGAGTTGGTCAGAGCATGGTGCTAATAATACCAAGGTTGTGGGTTCGGTCCCCATATGGGCCATTCACTGAAAGAGTTGGACTTGATGATCCTTTTGGGTTTCTTCCAACTCAGAAGATTCTGTGATTTCAGTTTCCTCAGCCAATGCCACCTGCTTGTATTATTCCACATCAGATCATATATTTCCTTTGTGCTGTGGACAGCTGTTTGAGGACCAACAATGCAGCAGGATCTGAAGATTTGCAATGACCCTGTGTATTCTGATTAAATTGCAGGCATTTTGCTGCTTTTGTCTAGTTTCCATAGCTCTACATGAGTCTCTGTGTTGATAAATGCATGGTATATCCATACTTTGGAAGTACTTTGCTACACTTCTGCCACCAAGCCTAGGAGATATAGTCCAAGATATTCTAACTCACACAGGCATTGCAGGAAACTTTGGATTTAGACATTGCAAAATTTGTTGATTGCAATCTAGGACTGAGTAACCCTTCGTTTGATTGATGGGTCAGTACTTAGAATAATCATAGAATCATGGGATGGTTTGGGTTGGAAGGGACCTTAAAGATCACCTAGTTCTAACTCCTCTGCCATGGGCAGCGGCACCTTCAACTAGACTGCGTTACTCAGAGCCTCATCCATCCTGCCCTTGAACACTTCCAGGGATGGGGCATCCACAACTTCTCTGGGCAAACTGTTCCAGTGCCTCACCACCCTTCCATTACCCACCCTAAATTTCCCCTCTTTCCGTTTGTACTTCCGTTTGTACCACCACCGTTCCTGATGAAGCCAGTCAGAAAGACAGGGAGGCATTGTCCAGAAAAGCTCCCGTACCTGCTGCCCGGCCACGGAGGCTGGAGCTGACGGTGCATTCCTGCGTCCGGGCGCTGCTGCTTCATTTTGACAGAACCACCCGAGTCCTGGGCTGATGGAAGTAACGAGTAATGGACTCTTTTCCCCATTCCCACTCTTTTGTCCCCAGGACCTGGCTACCTCTCTTCCCTGCATCTTAAGGCTGTGGGTAACACACTCCCGGGTGTCCGTGTCCGTCCCGCCTGCGGCCGCTGTGACAAGGCACCCGCGAGTTAGGGAGGGACCATGAGAGCAGATGAACGGGCACACTTCTCCGTCCTCCCCTGCCCATCGGCTCAGTGGGAGCCCTGTGGGGTTCCGAGAAATCCGGGGATGGGAAGGGGGACGACAACTGCGCCCCCGCTGAGGGGCTGAGGCGGGGGAGCCTCGCGAGATCCCGGCAGCGCTGCGGGCAGTTCTCGCGAGGTTTCGCTCGGGCTGCGGGCGCGGCTCCATGCGGTCGGAGCGGGGGCCGGGGCCGGCGTTGCTGTCGGGGCTGGGGCCGCTGCGGGGCGGCGGCCGTGACCAGCGGCCCATGGACACCTCCCCGCGCCGGGAGTCGCCGCGCCGCGACACAGACGCTCCGCCGAACCCCCCGCCGCCTTCCCCGCCGTCCCCGCTGCCGCCGCCGCTGCTTCACCCGGCGCCGGGTAAACTGAGGGAGGAGAAGAAAACGGCGCTGAGCAAAGTGAGAGGGCGCGCGGGGGGAGCGGCGGCGGCGCCGGGGGGAGATGGGAGCGGGGCCTGCGGTGGGGAGCGGGGCACAGGCAGCATCCCTGATCCACAGACCGAGCCGGTCGCAGCACAGTGGGGTGTTTAAAAAGGGTGTTCATTCCCTGGAGTATTGTGAGATCCCTAGCGTCAATGCTGGAGATCATTTCACCTTTAATTCTAAAGAAGTCAAGGCTGGCCATGGCTGTGGCAAAGCAGCTCCTGCTCTCTTCCTTGTCTTTATTCGAGCACTTTTCAAATAATACTTGCAGAGTATAACAGGCTGCCCAGGGAGATCGTGGAGTCTCCCTCTCCGGAGACATTCCAAACCTACCTGACCCGTTCCTGTGTCACCTATTCTAGGTGACCCTGCCTTGCCAGGGGGGTTGGATTGGATGATGTCCAGAGGTCCCTTTCAACCCTAACAATTCTGTGATTCTGTGAGAAGTGTGAGATTCGATTTATTCCCTTTTTTTTAAATGGAAAACTGAAGCATTGAAAATCACTATGACTTAAAGATGTCAAGTTAAATTCAGATATTAAAATATTAAAAAAATTAAAATAGATTGCCTGAAGCCGTTGATGGCCATTTTACTACTTTGTGTGGTGGCATCGTTCTACCAGAGGTTTCTGTGCAGTTTCCTGGTTCTTATTATTGGACAGTTTACCTGAGTGTGATGGGTGGCCTCTGGGTGGCTGCCAGACCCCCAGCCAGCTGCTCTTGCGCTCCTCCCTCCTACCTTCAGGGGAAAAAGATGATGAAAGAAACTCACAGGGTTGAGATAAAGGCAGGGAGATCGTTTACAAAGTGCCATCACAGCAAAAACAGACATGGGGGGACCTCATAGCAGCTTCTTACAGCTTCCTCATGAGGGGAGGTGGGATGGCAAGCACTGATCCCTTCTCTATGGTGACCAGTGATAAGACCCGAGGGAATGACCTGAAACTGCATCAGGGAAGATTTAGATGGATATTAGGAAAAGGTTTTTCACCCAGAGGGTGGTTGGTCACTGGAACAGGCTCCCCAGGGAAGTGGTCACAGCACCAAGCCTGACAAAGTTTAAGAAGTGTTTGGACAATGCCCTTGGGCACATGGTGTGATTCTGGGGGTTGTCCCGTGCAGGGCCAGGAGTTGGACTCGGTGATCCTTGTGGGTCCCTTCCAACCCAGGATATTCTGTGATTCTAACTTGCTGAAAATTAATTTACTTTATTGCTAATTTAAAAAAAATAGAGTAGAATGGTGAGAAACAAAGATTAAAACTAAAACACCATCCCTCCCCCTTTCTTCCCAGGCACTACCTCCTCTGCACCAAAGCAGTGCAGGAGGATGGGGAATGGGGATTTCAGACAGGTCATAATAGCTCCTGTCTGCTGCTCCTTTCTCCTCATGCTCTGTCCCTCCAGCATGGGGCCTTGACATGGGATACAGTGGGATACAGTCCCTTCTGCATGCTGCAGTTGTTCATGACCTGCTGCAGCATGAGTCTCCTTTGTGGGCTGCAGTCCTTCAGGATAAACCTGCTCCAATGTGGGCTTTTCTCCATGGGCTGCAGGTCCCTTCAGGGCATCTCCACCTGCTGTGGCATGGGGTCCTCCATGGACTGTGGGGGGACAGCATGCCTCACTATGATCTCCTGTGTGGGAATCTCTGCTTTGGGACTGGAGCACCTCCTCCCCTCCCCCATTCATTGCTGTCTGCAGGGCTCTTTCTCACACTTTTCCCCCGTTACTCTTTTGTCTCACCCACTGCTGTGCAGCCTTTTCTGCCCTTTCTTAAATACGTTTCCCAGAGTCACCACATCTTGGCTGAGTGGCTCAGCTGTTCCCTGGGTTGAATCCACTGGAGCAGGCTGAAACTGGCTGTGCCCAGCATGGGGCAGTCCCAGCATCCCCTCAGAGGCTGCTTTGGAGCCCCTGCCAGGAGCACCTGGACACGGAGTGCACTAAAATACTGCTGTATTAAAAGAGATACTGCAAAAGTTTGCGTAATCAATATCTAGTTTTTGGTTTTTTTAAATCCTTTGTTATTGGCTAAATTGCAGTGGTTCTCAGGCTCTTCATCAGAATATGTCAGTCACCCTGCAGTTTTACAACGCTCGTAGAAACTGAGGGAACTTGTTCCATCCATTTCTACAGTATGTAGATCAGATATAAATCTCCATTTTCTTTTATATATGCAGGTGGTTATTCGAAGGCTTCCTCCTTGTCTAACCAAGGAACAACTTGAGGAACAGCTACATCCTCTACCTGCCCATGATTATTTTGAGTTTTGCACTGCTGATCCCAGGTGAGGATGAGCTGTTTCTGTAGGTTTTCAGGTGCTTAAAACCTAATTAAGGTATCCAGGCCACTACAAATCACATGTTTTTTCCCTTTTTATTATGTTTGTTGGGTTACCTAAAATATATATGAAAAGTGACTGCATGTGCAGAGAGACCATTCCTGGATGTTTCTTTTACACTGATGATTTTAAAACATAAGGGCAAAATTCCGTGTTAAAATGGAAGGGCGTAATTGAAACCCCGATGTTTCTTTTAACTTTCATTGATAAACTTCAACAGACTATTTTATTGGCTATGAAGAAGATTCAGTCTAGGGCAGACAATCACAGAATGTTTTCATGAGTACCATTTGAGCTTAGCTTCTTTGTATGCTTACATATTTTTGTATTTACTTCATTTTCTCACATAATCCAATTTTATTAATTTTTATCTCATGCAAAAATAAAAAAATAGAAAGAGTGGTTGATTTAAAATAAATCAGAATCGCTGATATATTTATATAACTAATTCTGTATCACAGTGGTAAAATACAATTCCCTTTCAAATAAATCAATTTCCAGAAGAGAAGGAACTTAAACCACTAAAAAAGCAAACCACAATTTATGCTATATCTGCATGTGTTCTGAAAAACTAAAGTATAAGATCCATCTTCTTGTATCTTGGTGTGTGATGAATCACCCTCCACTCGCACCAGATTCTTTCCATTGACTGCAGAGGGATCCTGGATGTTTACTGCTGACCAGCTTTTGAAGTTAGGGGTTCTTTCAGAGTCAGTTCCACAATCAAGGAGAAACAAATGTTTATTTAGCAAAATTATGACAGTTCCCAGCCTACCTAATAGTTGCACATTAGTGCAGCAACAAAATAGTAAGTGCTTCAGCTGTTCTGTTAAAAACACAAAGGATGTGAAGTTAGGAAAGAGGAGTATTTAGTCTGATTGAAAGTCTTTGTAGTTCCTTACATTTCTCTTCTGAACTTTGTCATCTATATTTCCAAATGGGTCTCTTTAAGGCTTCTGTCCCAGCTGTTCATTTGATAAGGGAAAATATCAAAAGCAAACCAAAAATTCTCTGAAGAAGAGTGTCAGTTCTCAGTGTGTTTAGCTGCACAAATTCCAGGAAACAGTTAAAAAAATTACAATTTTAATTTTCCAGAAAAATTGCTGGCATAAGAATTTAGGGAGTTGGCCACCTTAGAAAAGAGAAGGCACTGACAACAGTTGTGTATATAAAGTTTCATTTTCTCTCTTACTTTTATGTGATGAAATTTGGAGTACTCAAAAATCTTGCTGTCCACTCATGTAATTGCATCTATGTTACGTTACCAATGAAAGATACTGTAGTTTTTTTCTTATGCTGTGTAATTTGTCATGTTATTCTCTTCTGCCTTCACAAATTTAAACTCACTAGAAAAAAGAATGTTTTCATATAAGTCTGAATTTTTCAACATGAACTGTTTCATAGTCACTTTTTTGTTTATCTTGCTTCTTAAAAAATGTGTTTTCATACAAAAGAGGTATTTTTTCAGAATGGCTTTACCTTTATGAGTTTTGTATGGCTACAGGTTCTTTTCAGCAAACTACACAGCTTAATAGGCATTTCACTGCTGTTCTGCAGAGCGTTGGCTTGGCTGATTATTTGTCCCTTGCCTGGCCCAGGATCACCGTGCATCATTTGTCCCCTTTTTTCTGATGCTGACACATGCCATGTACATCTGTTTATGATTCAACACTTTACATGCTCACACAGTTTAGAATACACAATAAACATCCCAAAATTAAAAGTTAGAGACAAGATTAATGTAGCGAGTCTCAGTCTCCTCTTATCCAGTAGAGAACTCTTTTCTGAGTATAAAGCATTGTGTTGCAGTAATCTGTCATATTATGGACAGTTCACACAATTTCAGCAAACTCTCTGGATGTGTCTTCATGTCATTCCAGCTAACAGGAAGAGCTACAGGACAAGGTGGGCATGTTCTCTCTGTCTTTCACTGAATAGCTTTTTCCTAGATCCTATACCACGTGCATAGTGGCCAGCCAATCCACAGAATTCAGAGGACAAATAATAAAACCATGGGAAGATGAAAAGAAATTTCATGTCACCTAATGAGAATGATTTGAAGAAGTTACTCAGTGAAGAGGATCTGTTTGTTGAAAAGAGAAAGGGACAGACAGATATTTTGGTGTGGAACCAGACAAATTTGCCTTAAGAGCTGTAACATCTAGGTTTAACCACATCCTGTGTAACTCCAGGTCATAGGAGTTTCTAAGAGCTCATTCATATTTCTGTAGAGTCTTTTTTTCACACAACACTCTGTCAAACTGTAGAACTTGTCAGAACTTCATTCCACAAATGATGGATGTTGGAAAAGCTTCAGGAGCAGTTAGACAAATTCTTATTTAGACAAATATTTATCTATGAAAACCTATTAAACACAGGATACAAGTTTGGTATTACAAAGTCCCTAGGCTGCAAGTAACTGAAATTATGTATTGGGTGAAGTGCCAGTGTATACTTTCCCCTTTTTAATAAAATTTCTCTAAGCAACCTCTCTTAGTTGCTGTTGGAAAGAGAACTAGAGAGGTCTAACTGTAGCTGTTTCTTCATTTTTATTTCTAAGGTCATCTCACCTTAGAGGAGAAAACAGACAAGATAGGCATATCAACTCCAGTTTCTCTGTTATTGCAATCTTTATCTTTCTAATATCTCTCTAATATCTTTATATCATAAATGTTTAAGTTTACCACGTCCTATTATAGGCAAGCTGTAAAACGTATTAAAATTTCATGTGATTAATGTCATTAATAATGTATAATGCTTTTTCAGTTCCATCCATTTCAGTAAAATCATTTCAGAAAATTACTTGTGTTGTGTTTTGTTCATTTTTCAGATTCATCCAATTCACTGCATTACATTTATTCTCTCTTACACATTGACATCAAAATACAAACAAAACACTGTTTATAGTTGATAATAAAGACTCTGCTTTCCTCACAGACTGTCTTGTGCTCAGACTCCAAATATTAACTTTTTTTCCCAGATATTCTTTCTTTTTGTCCACTGGTAGATATTTCTGAGTCTTTTAAAACTTGAGTCAAGTGATTGAGCTCTGGCCCTGCAGGACTTGGGTCATCCCTTGGGACTGGCACTGAGTGCTGGGAGTCATTAATAGCATGAGGTTATAGAAAGTAAAGAGATCTGAACAGGAGCTTGGCTTACATAAAAACTGGTCAAATAGTGCCATGTCATGTGTCACAGAGAGTGATAAAGCTTCTTGCAAAGCACACTCCTTTTCCCTCTGTAAGTTCTTCACATCAGTTTGCTCAGGTTTATTTTAGGTATAAAGCATTAACAGTGTAGTGTGGAGGTTTGCACCCAGGAACTGCAGTATTGAAGGGGCAATGCTTTTAGAGCTTCGAGGGAAGCACCACTACTGTGTTCTGGATGGAATAATTGATAGGCTTTGATTGGCACAATTCTGTAGTGTTCCTGCTTCTCTGCCAGGCAAATTGTGCTCATTAATAACTGTGAAAAGGAAAGACTAAGTTAATTTAAGATTATGTCAGTTGCATCCACTATGTGAGTGACCACAGAAGGTGATAAGGATAAATGCCAGTGGATCTTAGCTTGACAAGACAAGACAAGCTTGACTTACCTCATCAATTGTTATATAAATGAATGGAGGAGTTACTTGACACTCCAAAATTTAGATGTAGGTGTCTGTATGTTTATACATGTGTAAGTATATATGTTTTTATATATACAATCACCATGATTTGTAAATTGATAAGTATTTTACTAAGATGTGATAGCTGGTTTTGTAGTTGCTTTTTATACTGTAGATAACTATTCAAAATTGCTTTCCTGTGTACCAGTCTTTTTACACAATTATGTTAAAAGATATTTTGTAGAAGAAGTTAACAATTAGAATGTGTTTGTTGTTAAAGTTACTAGCAAACGGCTTAAAGAAATTATTGACTTAAGTATTATAGAAATAAATGTAACCTAAAAGATTGAATAGCCTTGAACGCAGAGCAGAAAACAAAGAAAAAGTGTGCTGGACTTAAGAAGTGTGTACAGTCAGGCTCATCTGGGCTGTTTCCATAGAGATTGCTCTAAGTGATGTCCCAGAGATACCAGCATGTGCTGTGCATCTGTGCAGAACATTGTACAGATGGAAAGCAACATTATAGACAGCAAACATATGGCAAAATAGAACCAGCTGTCTGATTATAAAACTAAATTTCAGATCCTGAATGAAATTTATGCTGGTAGACACTTCAAGAAAGGAGGAGACACAGAGTGTTCAGTGGCCCTTCTGTAGAACTCGGCTGGAAGGCAAAATCCTGAAGAGCAAAAAAAGTATTTTAGCCAATAACTGCTGAATACAAAGAACAAAAATAAAGCAGGAGTGTTTCTTCCTAGGAGAGGTCATTAGCCTCAGAGTGCCTGTGGCCCTGTGAAGAAGTTCTGTGCGTTCTTTGCTGCATGGTCATGCTGGTGAGTTCTCAGTGGATAGGTGAAGAGGGAATCCAGAGTGTGGAGTGGCAGCTGGAAGTCAGGTGTCTGAAACCCAGAGCATATTCTGTATATTCTATAAGCAGGCCAGTGCTAAGTATTTCCGATTTCCTAGGTTTAGTTAGCATCCCACTTAGAATGTTAATTTTATGCACTTTTTTAGGCACATTGCACACTTCACTGGGTAAGAAGTCTACGACAAGGGCTTGAAACACTCAGTGGTGAGATTTTTACATACTGAGCACTCTGATAGCTAACTTGCATGCATATGTGAACCAATTCTTTACTTGTAGAGGTGGCTCCATCAGAGAAGGAACCTGTAATTGCTAAGCATTGTCTGTTTCTGCAACCTTCTACCCTGATACACTGCAGCAATAATGGAGAGAGAGTTGTATTTTACTGTGCTGTGGTGCACATGCTTTTATATTTTTGTATGTTTCTGCTGATGCGTATGAAGTTCTTGAAGATATTAATGTATAGCAATAACATTGGATCCCGTATTTGCAAGATATATGCTAAATCTTGGCTTTCCAGAGTCCCATTTATACATTTCAGACTGGTATTCTCTTACTAATAAATGTTTAATAATCATATCAAATGTTCCTCTGTTTTGAAAGATACTCACTCTGACTAGGCTGAAAAAGCTGGAAAAATGTTGCCAAAGCAGATGAAAGAGATGGTGTTGATATACCAACTAAAGGAAACAAAGGAATAACTCTTGTGTTTTTTCAGTTTTGTTTCATTATGATTATGTGTCCAACTGTAAGGTTCTAAGTTACTACAGGAAAAAGAAAATCCAACTATATGATGAAGCTGTTTGCTGTGCACTGAGGCAGAGAAGTGCCTGAAAAATAATGCTGCCTTAAAATTCCTGGTTTTGTCTGGTGAACCTTCAGCACTTCAAGTATCAGTTGTATCAATCTCTAATATCAGGCCTCGTTTAATTTAAGCATCAAAGGACATGCAACATAAGCATAGTCCTGTTAATGTGATAGAGAAGGAAGTTTACTTCTTCCTGGGAGCTGCCAGTTATCAGAAAGTTCTTCACTGTTGCAGCCATTAGGCAGCACAGAGACATTTCTTCCAGCGCAGCTAGAGATTGACACAATAAAGTTCCCTCCTTTACTTACACTCCTATGCCTTTTTAAAATATATTTTAACTGTATGTAATAATTATCAAAAGTGTTAAATTTCATCCTTTTTTTTTTCTTTGAAGCTGCTGAGAAGGAAGCTGGCTTGTTAACATCTGCTTTGCATCTTAGCAGTAGCTCCACAGCCACTCTGTAGCATCTTTCAGCACTGGCCGTGCCCTAGCAGACGTTTTTGCAGTTACCTGCTTACAGTTCACCATCCTAGAATGTCAAAATATGTATAAATTGATAAAATTACTCTTCCTTAGAAATAGAGAGTTTATCTTCTTCATGCTGTAGAAACAGTCTGTAGCTGGTTTTTGCGAAACATCTAAATGAAAAAAGCCCTCTAGTTTTTTTAAACATTTCTCCTGGCTGCAGGATCAAACACAAATTTGGTGTGGTTACAAAATCATTGGTTATTGACAATGATTTGTCTCTTTATAGTCTTTATGGTCTTTATGGTCTCCTTCTAACACCAGAAGTGGAATCCGTATGGATGCATATTTTAAAAATAAAAAATTACTTGGCAACAGTGTTGCTTTGAGCTGCGACATGCAAGGATCCTGTGAGCTACCCCATGTTTTTGCTCTTTCTCACTTGTGAAATCTGATTCTGAAATAGCTATGGGATTGAAATACACTTGCAATTGTGTATGTTTATGTCTCCTGCTGCTGGTGGTGAGTTGGTCTGAAGGCAGGCCGTGTGTGACAACAGTATATGAACAGAGGTATTTAAAGTTATGGGCTTATGTTAAGATTTGTTCAAAAACCTGATGTAACATGTAGCCATCATTAAGGCAAGTTTAAGCCAAACTGTTTTGTATCACAGTTGCAGGGGTTTAAAGCATGTACAGGCCATGGCTCACAATAACTTAGCTGATGAGTGCTAATTCCTTAAATTACCTCAATTTCATTGTGGTTATGGTGTGCCAGCCCTGAGGTGTTTAATCAGGCATGTTAAACATTTACCCTTGGAGTGGGATCTATGCTACTTGATTATATCATGAAGAATCAAAATTATTTTAAGTAAGTACCCATTTCCTTAGCTAGAAATTCTTTGGATTTTCAGAATAACTGTTCTTCACAACTGGATATTGTGTGTATATTGATAACATGGGGATGATAGCATGTGGAGTTTATTTATTTGCGTTTAATTCAGTGGATTATCTTGCCAACTATTAGGCTATTTATTCTTTCTTAAAGGTGGAAATGTCTTTAAATACAGTTGCAGCTTGGAAACTGCCCCTTCACTTACCTTTGCCTGTTTCACTGATAGAAGACTTTTTTTAGCATGCCCGAGAAGTTCCCCAAAAGCACTGCTGTTACTCATGTCTCTTAAATCATGAAATATTCAAGTTTTAATTCTGCACAATTGGAAGTGTATGCTCTGGAATTTAGGGAGAAAAAACAAACTCGAAATATTTGGTTTTGAGTTCAGAATAAATTTCACAGTTGCATACAGAACTCAGTTGTTCAGTTACTTTTTGTCATATATAGTTAGATATGTACATGTAAAGACTGTTTAAGGTAGCAGTTTCTCAAAGAAGAGGAGAATTACAATGAGATCCTTCTAGTTTTACCTTTTCCCTAGCCCTGAACAGAATAATAAATAACAGAAATAAACTTGTTTCTTGTTGCAGCCTTTATCCTCATCTCTACTCAAGAGCATACATTAACTTTAGAAATCCTGAGGACATCCTTCTTTTTAGAGATCGCTTTGATGGCTATGTCTTCATTGACAATAAAGGTTGGACTATTTGTAAGATATTAGGTGTATATATATACATATACCATTTTAGAACATTATTTTACTTCCTTTTTGCTAATTATGCTTGCTTTTTTCCTCAATATGCAGTTAATTACATTAAAATATGTTAAAATTTAGCACTTGATAATAAAGTGCAAAATGTATTTGTCCCTGCAGTCTTGCTTGTCTATGGTGTGCATGCTTTATGTGCATTCTTATGCAATACACCATCAAGATGCTATTAAGATAATTAGCTTGTGCAAGCTTCACAGTTCACCACAAAAGGAACTGAACACATTGTGAGCATGAATTGTTACATCTTCGGTATGTTTCTGTGAGGTAAACTTGTGCCACTTACTCCTGTTTTGTAAAAGCAAGAGGAAACCTTCAACATTTCAGTTGCCCACTTTTAAGATATGTCAAACTTGAATTTTTAGGGCCTTTGCAGACATCTTGACTTGAGTTCCAAAAACAAGAACAGCATAATTGATTGCCAGCTTTAAAATGTTCAATCTGCAAAAGTTTGCCCAGCAGTAGAGAAAGTCTGTAATGGTGTGGATAAACCCAGGTCTCCTATAGCAGTGTGAAACTGCCATTGACAAGAAGTGGGTTAGCCGAACTTTAGTAGTTCCTTGCTATACCTTCTGTAAAAAATTGCATAGGTTCTATAAAATAGGCTGAGATTTATGGGTCTCTTAGATAGACATTTCAGCTTAAAGAAGACTGAAGTTCTCCATCAACCTGCACCTCAGGAAGTCCCCCATCATCCCCACATCACCATCAGCCAATCAGAGCTCAAATCAGTCCAACAGTTTAATTACCTAGGCAGCCTCATCTCCTCGGATGGTAAGATTGACGGGGAGATAGACAACAGGTTAGCGAAGGCATATAGTGCTTTTGGTAAGCTTCATAAAAGAGTCTGGCGAAATAAACACTTGAAGAAAAGTACCAAGATCAGTGTTTACAGAGCCATAGTGCTGTCTACTCTTTTATATGGCTCCGAATCATGGGTCATCTACCGCCACCACCTGCGTCTCCTAGAACGCTTCCATCAACGCTGTCTCCGTACAATCCTAAACATCCACTGGTTGGATTATGTGACCAATACATCTGTTCTTGAACAGGCAGCAATCACAAGTATTGAGGCCATGCTACTGAGAACACAGCTACGTTGGGCAGGGCACGTCTCTAGGATGAAGGACCACCGCCTCCCTAAGATCCTGCTTTACGGTGAACTTGCCACTGGCTGCCGCAAGAGAGGAGCCCCGAAGAAAAGATACAAGGACTCCCTGAAGCAACAACTCAGCCTTGGGCATATTGATCACCATAACTGGTCTACTCTGGCCTCCAATCGGGAAACCTGGAGACAAACCATTTATAACGCTGCTGATGCTTTTGAGAAAGCACGCAGGATCACCCTTGAAGAGAAAAGACAACGCAGAAAGAATCGAGCCTCGCAGAATATACCACCTAAGGAGTCTTTCTGCTGTGTCTTTTGCAACCGGACTTGCCTTTCTCGTATTGGTCTTTTTAGCCACCAACGCGCTTGCAAGAAACGTGGGTAGAGCCCTTCCCAAATCTTCGTTCGCGAAGCCTAGCCATGAGATAGACATTGTTTATTCTGTATACTTGTTGCAGAGGTCCTGCAAAAAGTAGTCCTGCCCACTCTTACTAGAGATTGATCTCTAAAGAAACTCTGTCAAATTTATTAATTCCTCTTCAGCATTTCCTACCTGAAATATTTTATCTGCTTCTGACATCCATCAGATTTGGATTGTTTTTGTAGAGATGGAGAACAACACATTCCTTGCAGTGTGTGATTCCTGGATTTCAAATTCTGGGTGTTTTAAGAAGAAAAACCAGAAAGAAGCTATTTTTATGATTCTGCTAAGACTTTACTTAGCCTAAATTCAGCAGGTCTTTCAGTGTTATGCTGGAGTGAAGCCAGAATATTCAGTCCTGAATATTCCAGGAAATAAATAAAACTGACTTGGACACAGCTGGCCAGCTTGGCAGGATTGTTTGTGTAAATAAAGAGCACAAGGTTTGATCACAGGTGCCCTCTGGTGAGACTTGTGGCAGCATTGCACTTATAAGGGTAAAAATGAAACAAGGATTAGCAGGTTCAATATGGTTAACAAATGTTCTGGCAGATTTAAGACAAATTTTCAGTGGACTTGAGCTAAGTGTAATCTTGAACCTGCTGCAAGTGGAAACCAGGTGAAATTCAAAAACTACACACAGTTCTGACTCCGGTCCAAAGAAGAATCTAGTACTTAAGGCAGAATTCAAAGCAAAGAATCCTTGCCAATAAACACAGGCAGAAAGTTGCATAGTCCATCATAAACAGAAAAAAAGAAGTTTCACACAATTCTACATGATGAGTTTTACTGTTCTGAAAGGAGATGATATATTGTTTTATTGCATATTACCCAGCATTTATTTATGTTTTAAGCTTTTAGGCAACGAAGCTTTAGGAAACCACTCAGCAGTTTCAGATTAATTTCCCAGTAGGACTTAATTACTTGTCAGACTGAGATTTTGAGGTAAATTTTTCTAATCAATATCTGTGAACAATTAAAAGGGAATTAAAAATGATGATACAAGAATTTTCCCGAAGAAAAGATACAAGGACTCCCTGAAACAACATCTCAGCCTCGGGCATATTGATCACCATAACTGGTCTACTCTGGCCTCCAATCGGGAGGCCTGGAGACACACCATCTATAATGCTGCTGATGCTTTTGAGAAAGCACGCAGGATCACCCTTGAGGAGAAAAGACAACGCAGAAAGAATTGAGCCTTGCAGAATATACCATCTAAGGAGTCTTTCTGCTGTGCCTTTTGCAACCGGACTTGCCTTTCTCGTATTGGTCTTTTTAGCCACCAACGCGCTTGCAAGAAACGTGGGTAGAGCCCTTCCCAAATCTTCGTTTGTGAAGCCTAGCCGTGATGACAAGAATTTTATTGTATAACAATAATCTTAATTTTTACAGTCTTATTAGCATATCCAAAAATATTTAATGTTTTATATATAATTAAAATATAAATTTATTTTGGTTTCAATGTAAAATACCTCTGTGTGTAACTTTTCATTAGAAGTTTAGTAGTTGTAGCAACAGTCACCTTTGATTTCAAGTAAGACTGCTCAACACATATTTGAAGAGTTTTGAAAATCTTACATGAATTTAGGGAATGTTTCTCCCCATCAGAAAATTAAGGTTTGATCTCTTTTAAGGTTTGGAGTATCCTGCAGTGGTTGAATTTGCTCCATTCCAGAAGATTTCAAAAAAGAAGCTGAAGAAGAAAGATGCCAAAGCCGGGAGCATTGAAGATGGTAAACATATTTTCTTGGCATCACAGTAGAAAATGTATTTCATTTCTGTTATGCATTGCAAAATGTTAATATAATTCAAAAATTTTTCTTCACAGATCCAGAATATAAGAAATTTTTAGAGAGTTATTGTGCTGATGAAGAGAAAATCTGTGCCAATCCTGAGATTCTATTGGGAGAGATTGAGGCCAAAACAAAAGAACTTATTGGTCTGTTTTCTTGATTTTTCTTATTATTGAGAGTATTAAATATCTTTATATTACCTGATAGAGTTGTTCAGTCTGACAGATTTAGATTATCATAGTTAAATTTTTGTTACCCAGCCAAGTAGTAGGGGTTTTTGTCTATTCTCTTAAGTCTCTATGCCTGGAATCACTTGGCTTCACCTGAGCTTTTGCATGTACGGTTGCTTCAGAAATAGTTCCTTAATAATTCTGAATACTTACAAATGTATTAATAGATAAAAGATTTATTTTTAAAATATAAAATAGCTGGATACTTAAAAATTTATCCCTGATATTAGCTGCTTATATTAAGAAACATGAAATGATCTCTTTTTGTTCTCACGGTCAAGATTCTGGCAAAGCTCTGAAAGTAAGGCAACACCTTGTTTTTTGTATGCATGCAGCATGACTTTCACAGTCCTGTGGGGAATTTTAAGTAAGGTCAACATTGAAATCTTCAGTGCTGGTATGCAGCTTTCATGATGACATGGAATATTGATGTCCTGTATCTTCAAGTGACAACATGCAGAACACTTAGTCTTTCCCTAGGTGTGACAATTGAGTAGGGGAAAAAAAACGACCTTTGCTGTTATTTCTTTTGTGTAAAAGTAGACACCTCTTTTGATTAGAATTATAGAATCATTTAGGTTGGAAAAGACCTTTGAGAACATCAAGTGCAGCCATTAACCCAGCACTGCCAAGTCCTAAACCATGTCCTCAGGTGCCACATCTACACGTCTTCTAAATACCACCAGGAACAGTGACTCCACTATTTCCCTGGGCAGCCTGTTTGAGTGCTTGACAATCTTTTTGTGAATAAGTTTTTCCTAATACCCCGTATAAACCTGCTCTGGTGCAACTTGAGGCCATTTCCTTTTGTCCTGTCACTTGTTACTGCTGTTTGAGAGTTGACTGGAGACATTTGGAACTTAAAACAATTTAGAGGAAATGGAAATGTTAGTAGTATGGACATTTAGATAATAAAACTTGTTTATTGCTGTTCTAGATAGGGAAGTTATGCAACAATATTTGTTTACCCCAAATCTTCCCTAGTATTTGACAGAAAAGTAAAAGCAGTCAAAATCTTCTTAGAAATTTATGATTTCCAAAAAGTTTACAATTTCAAGAAAGATTTTTTAACTTTAAAATATTCTATCAGTGAAAATTACTAGTCTTGAGACTTGCAGATTTCAGAATAACAATATTGGCTGAAGGCAGATTTACATTAAGAATTTTAGTGTTTTGTTTCTGTTAAATCCCAGGGAATCAAATTAGTTGCTTTATTTTTTCTGCCATTCAAAACTGTAACATGTTTATAGCAAAATTATGTAAGGGCTTAGTTGTGTGTCCAGTTGCAAAGGTGCTACTCATACTGATGTCAATGAACGACATGCCCAGGACTTTGTTGGCAAAATTGGGCCTCACATGCTCAGCATTTCTCCATGTAGAGTTACTGTGAAGCAACATATTTTATGCATTATGTCAGATGGGTTAGCTGATCAGTTTCAGTGTGACAGAGAGATATAAAAGAGATTTTCTCAGTAACGAGATAAAGATAAGCTCCTTTTTCTGGCTTGTTTGAAGAGAGCAATATAAAATGTAAAAAGTTTTGCTGACACAAAACTTCATTTAGCAATTTATTTTCTTTTAAAATTCCTTAAACATTTTAAGAAAAAACCGCTCATATTTTTATTTGTATTAAGGACCATAAATAAGATGGGTAAGATTCAGGTTTGATAAACATTCTTTTTTTTCCTCCCGTATTGATAATACTCATCACACTGCCTCTCTCCCTTGAACTTGAAGTTATACTTTCTCAATAAACCTCTTCCACCACAGCCTTAGTCATGACTAGGGTCAAGTTCTGGGCTCTCAGTGCAGCTTATCCTTTGCCCAGACCTTCCAGTTAAAATCTGTGATCTCTTTCAGCATGTAGAAGTGCCCACAGGTAGACACTGCTCAGACAGGGGCAGGAGAGAGGAGGCAAAGCTGTGGATCTGAGGGACTGGAAGGGAGGGTTCTGGGGACCTAACACTTGTCAGAAATTATGGGCATGTGAGGAGGGTGGGGCAGCATGGAAAGTCTAGGGATAGAGAGAGGAAAATGGCAAATCAACAATCTTTTTTGGTTGCTGCTTTGAAACATTGATATTTGGTAAAAACAAATACTGAATCCTATCAGCCTTCCTATCAGTCTATTCATAACCGCGTAAAAAGTTTCCTTATCAATGAATGGGTTGCCTCCAGCATATTCCGACTTTCAAGGCAAAAAGATTTAAATGTTTTTGGGATATGAATTGCGTCCAGACTTTGGTTATGCCGTTTCAAATTTGTTGAAAACTTTATTTTAATTTCTTTCTTTTTTTTCTTTTTTTTCTTTTTCCTTTTTCTTCCAAATCCTGTCATGCATTCCAGTAGTGCAATTTTTTTTCTGGTTTGAGGGAGAATCCTATATGTAACTGTAGAGCAATTTCAAGTAGCAAACATTTTCTATTCTGGGACACCTAAGACTGCCAAAATTTGTTGTTACTATTCACAGCTCTAAGTACGTGAATTCAAGTCTGAATTCAATACTGACAGTCATAAATGCTGTATATGATGAAAAATTTGATGATGTTCTCCAAGATTTTGTAGAATTGGGGGTTGGTTCAGGCAGGTGACTTGATTTTAGAGTGTGGAGACAGCTCTTTAACATAAGAATGGCGGTGTGATCCAGTAGTTGAGACGTTTTATTTGTTATTTGGGAAGCCAGAGTTTTATTGAATCTGCTGATATTCGTTATGTAACCTGGGACAAACTACTTTTCTCTTATTCCTCCTGTTTTTGCAAGGAGAGGGAATGCTAAAGTCAGGTAAATGGAAATGTTATATGAGACTGAAAATGCTTCCTTCATCATGTACTTTGACATCTGTGATTGAAAAATGCTATATGAGATTACAGTAATATGGGCTGTTTGTGAACAACAATATAGCTAGATTTCGATGTACAAAAGTAAAAAGTAGGAAAAGATTCTGAACACATTTCTTTCCTTTTTGGTGAAATAACCATTCTAAGTGAGAAAAGCCATTCTCTTGAACTGAAAAGATATGGTATAAAGATAGGATCTTTAATTAAACATTAAATAATCATGCAGTGTATTTCTGTTGCTTCTAACGCTAACAACCAAAAAAGCAACAAGGTGTTTCTAAAGCAGAATGATGGTAATGCTTTCAAAAATACATTAAACAAATAGGTTTATCCGTGATTTAGCTCCCTTTCAGATAAAGCTAGAAAAAAGGGGGTTAGTACTAAAGTAAAGAAATGAGTACATATTCTAGGAGTTGAACACTATATCACAAATTTTTTGTGTTTTAGCTAGAAGAACAACACCCCTTTTGGAATATATTAAAAATAGAAAATTAGAAAAGCAGGTACGTTCAGACTTTTGCCTGAAGTTCAACATTTATGTTTCACGTGTTTTTCCGTTGGACAATTTACAATTAATCATTTTGAACTTTTCAGAGAATACGAGAAGAGAAAAGAGAAGAACGAAGGCGGAGAGAATTGGAGAAGAAACGTCTGCGGGAGGAAGAGAAAAGGAAGCGCAGAGAAGAAGAAAGACGTAAAAGGAAAGAAGTGGAGAAGCAAAAGAAAATTTCTGAAAAAGAAATAAGGATCAAGGTATCATAATGAAAAAAAGATCATTCTTCCTTTGAAGTTATCCAGAAGTTCTTTGGTATGTCAATGTTTATTTAGCGTATGACAGCACAGTGTGGAGACACCAAACCAGTTTTGTCTGCAAGGGAAAGTGATGTAGGGCTTTGACTAAGTAGTGTTGTTTGGAAGTGTGACTAATGGCCCTAGGTACAGTGATGTGCTGGTGCAGGTACAGCAGGTAATTCAGATACCTTTATACTGCTGCGTTCTGTGCCAGCATTACCTGACAGAACCGAGTTCTTCTGTGCTAACATGTTGGAAGATTATCGCAGGTTTTATCCCTGAACGGGCCATTCATTTGAGAGTTGGACTTGATGATCCTTGTGGGTCCCTTCCAGCTCAGAATATCCTGTGATTCTGTGTTTCTGTGAAATATGGCTTTAAACACTTTCTGTCATGTAAATCTCTATCTGGCCACGTGTGCAGAGAGTTCTTTGTATTTATGCCAAGAACTGATGTATTTTAATAATGTTAAAGTATTTAATAGTGTTAAAGCTTTAACCAAGTTATAACAAAGTCATGCTAACTTCAGGCTGCGCTGCCTTGCAAGAATATGAATGGATTTTCGCAACATCACTTAGGAGGATGTATCTTGTGCTATGAAGTTGGAACTGATAAAACTTTATTTGTATAAGATGACATAGATAAAAGGTATTCATCTGAACTAAATTTTGTAGTATTGGAAGAGCCTTATAGACAATTTTGAAAAGGAAATTGTATAAGAGTCTGTAGCGTAACGCAAGGATGCACAGACTGACTCCAGATCTTGTGGTGCTGAGAAACCACAAAACTGTGGACTTGTTTCCTCTTTTCTTCATGGCAAACAATTTCCTTCACCTGAAAGTATAAAACCAGTAAATTCTGAAGATGAATTACATATTTTTCATATTTGGGCATAAAGAAAAACACACTAGAAGTTCAGAAGAAAAGGGACTTAATCCTTAAAATATATTACCCAAAATTGGTTGTCCAAAAAAACCCTGTATTTATGACATATCAGGGGTGATATGTCATATGATCTCGAAAGCTAGTTCTGTCTCTGAAAGAAAAGGAAAATATTTCCTGAGACAAACATTATAGAAGTTTTAAATATTAGAGAAGAATAACCAGTGCTTGTTTCAGAAAATCTGGTGGCTTGAAAAGACTAAGGAGATGTTCTGCTTAGTCCTGATATATTAGGGTAATAGTTTGAGACAGTTGGTCCTTCTGTAAAGATTGTTCCTGTAAAGCTAGACACTGCTCAAGCCCTGTATGGGTTATTTTGAAAGGAAAAGACTTCTTGAAAATCCTAATCTTCAAGGTGAAAATGTAGTGAGATCTTTTCTGCTAGTATCCTAATTTTTTACTCGGTCTGTAATTGTGTCAGGGTGTACTAAGCACCTACTTCTACGTGCCAGTCTATCCCAAGTAATTCATGTGACATACATTTTATATGGAATATTTCAAGGAGTGAAGTATTAATCCTACTCTTTGTAGTATTGTAGAGGTTCTGCTTCTTATTTTGTCGGCAATGACACTGAGCTCTGTTACGTGATTTCTAAGAAACCTTACACCATAATAATGTCTTTATATAAAACTCAGGAGAGAACAGTAGGTAAGTGCTCTCTTCAGTATTCTCAGCATATTTATGTGTGCAGTTGAATGCCTGTCAATGACTGTCACTCCTTAGCAAAAGTAAACTGCCCTTTCAAAATAACTTTACATTTTATACTTTGTAGAATACATTCCTTGCATTTAAATATCTCCAATCTTAGCAGGTTACTGATATATTTAATACTTATTAAAATGTCTATTACAACAGAGGAGAATAATTTTACATCATAATATAAACAAATATCTCTCAGCTTCTCAAGAAACCTGAAAAAGGAGATGAGCTGGCCAGTGAAAAGCACCAAGAAAAAGGTGAAGAAGCTGACATTGAGGAAAACAAATGGGATAAATCACCTGGATCTGGGAGTATAAAATCCAAGACTTTGGAGAGTTCACTAAAAGAACTTAAGGAAAAGTAAGTAATATTTGTATTTTATAATTGAATTTAGATCATAAATGCTTTGATCTCAAGGCTTAAAGATATTCTATCCCCGGAGAACCAATTTTATTCTGTCTGTGAACAAATCTCTTACTGTCCTTTCAGTAAAAGGTGTTTCATAACAATTTCCTGACCTGATGGCAGTATTAGTGGATGCAATTTGATATTTGTGAAATGCTATAAAATCCCAGATTGGAAGGATTTCTGCATGAAAAGTTGTTCGGTGTTTCATTGTTATTTTACCTGTTCCCCATCAAAATCTCAGGTAAGGCCCTCCTTCCATTACTGATGTCAAAGACTAAGCTGGCTAAGGTGCCACGCTCTTCCTTCACACTTGGGTTTGCTGCAATAAACACAGAACTGTGTTTGATAAATGAGCGAATGGCAGAATAGTTGTGGTGTCAATGACAGCCTTATGATAGGTACATGCAGAAGGCTGTCTCTGTCTCCTCTGCCTTTTGTATTACATTTGTGCTGGTAGGAACAAGGGGCATAGCTCAGCTCTGTTACTGGTGTAGCCTGGGAATGTATCATCTTACAAGTGTTTTCAGCAGTTGGTTCTCTCTCTTGTCCCTTGGTACGTGTGTCTCATCACAGGCAGGATTCACCCATAAGATATGTAAGATACATAACAAAGATTAAAAAACCTCAGAATAAAACTCAGTTGAGTTTTCCAGCTAAGCTCTCAAAAGTGCTTTGCAGTACAGAAGGACAAGCTTTAGCATTTTAATAAGTTACCTAAGGTATTACATATAAAATCTGACAGGAAGTTTGGGATTATGCTCTGGGAGCCTTGCAGGTCACCTGCTTATTCTAAGTAGTTTAAATATTACTTTTGTCCACATAGGTTCTCAGGTTTTATGAGATGTATGTAGGAGCTGCAAATGTTCTCCTAATGACAAATAGAACAATAAAGAAACTTTGAACACTGGAAAATAAAATAACTGAATTTACTAATTGAATAAATGGGTCACAAATAATATCCTACATGCATTATTCATCCTTTTTTTTGTTTCTGACTAAGGACTTCAAGCATAGGCTCAGTGTTTCCATATGTTGAGTATGTCCTGGAAGTTCCTGAAAATTTCCATGTCCTATTCTTTAACGGAAGTTGAAAATATTCAGCAAATCCTTTGTTGATGTTCTTCAACAAAGGAAACAGAACAGGCTCAACAGAAACAATTGCAAGGGCAAGTTGGTTGTTTACTAATCATAGAATTGTTTAGGTTGGAAAAGACCCTTAAGATCATTGAGTCCAACTGTTAACCTGGAACTGCCAAGTCCACCACTAAACCATGTCCCTAAAGGCCACATCCACAGGTCTTTTAAATACCTCTGAGGATAGTGACTCCACCACTGCCCTGGCTTTTTATGCAGTAAGCTTTTTGGTGGTGCCATATAACATTGTTTACGATTGATCCTATGAGTTTAATAAGGCATTAATGTAGATTTTCCAGGCATTAAACAGAATCCCTTTGGCTGCACAGGTACAGTGTTACCTTGTGTTTCCAAGTGCTCATTTCATTGTGATTATTAGTGAGTAGGTAGCAAGCTATGAACTATTTCAGCTGGATCAAGGTTTAAAGTTGAAACTACTTTGTCACTGACTCAGAAATCAGCAATAAACTGTAACTTCCAACTCTACCTGCAGGAGCCTGAATTGTATGTTTGAAACAATGTTTAAGGCTCAGTAGCAATAGCTTTCTACCACAAAACGAAATCTCAGTATTTGCATAAGTGTACATGATCACATACAGATTTGAAACTATACCAAAAAGAAGTATGCTTCCATTCCCTTTACTTCCATTAATTTCTGCTTTCTCTGGCTATGCAACTTTCTCTTCTACCTATACTTTGTATTTGCTTATCCCACCATTTCCACTCTTGCTTGCCTGTTCACTATGACTGAATTTTAGGAAGCTACTTTAACCACTCTTGAACTGGAGTTTGTGTCCCTATCACTTGCCTACCTCCAAGTGCATCCATTCCTTCCTCACCCATAGTAACAGGCAAGGGAAGAGACAAGTACCAAGCAATGCTACAGCAACAAATCGAGGGGGTCTTTTTGACTTTTTGGAAGGTCATGCCCTGACCCTTGCTAGGACTAAGAGTTACTGTCTAGAATAGCATACTAAACATGAAACAAAGCAACTCACAACCACATACCCCTTGAAAACTAACATAGTATTATATATATATGTATCTAGGCTACAGATACAGTATTTCTGTAATTCTGATTGATTCAGGTGTCTGTGACAGCTGGGACATTGCTTCCACTTGGTGACTGTGTTATGCTGACACGAACTCAGTCTGGTGAAATACTGAATAACTTATCTCTCATTCAGGTTTTGTTGTGACCTCCAGCACTTCCTGAGATGGGGCCCCTGTCTTAGCAGTCCCACCAATGCCTAAGTTCATGGCAGATGCTAACAATTTTCACAGTTCTGTTACTTAAAAAAAAAGAAATATACATTTTTATTGATATTAAATAATTCTAAATAAGAAGCATATCACTATTTGATCACTACACCATCAGAAAATCTCCATCCTCAAGTAACTTACTTTTTCAGTTCTTTCAGTTTATTTTAAGTATTTATACATATGTAATATATAAAAAGAACTGCCTGTATTTATTCCTTTTAAAGTTCAACCTATTCTGTAATCTTTCTTAATTATTTACAGTTTGGCTGTATGAGAGAAGCACCTGCTTGCTGAACTGGAACAATGAAGTGAATAAGAAAGCTGGGAATTTTATCAGACAGGATGAATGTTACAGATAGTCTTTATAATATAAACCCATTGCAGCATAGCAGAAATCGAGTATTATGTTGTGGTAATGTAATGGTCTTTTGCCTAAATAAAATATGCAAAGGCAGGCTAGATTACTTGGAGACACAATAAACAAAAGCCTAGAACATAAGTATTCATTTTCACAAATTTCTTCTGCAAGTTGCAATGTCAGTGAATAATTTTTGTTAAGAGTCATAAAACTTTACAAATTGATACATGATACCTGAACAATTCCTTCCGGCCTTGAATGTTCCTGTTCAGGGGATTACTTATATGCATGACTCACCTTAAGACCAGGCCACAAGAGCTAATAATGCAGCATGGAACTATTGATAGGATTTTAAAGAGGGATAGAAAGTGAAGAATGGGCCTTCCACAACAGTTGCACAAAAGTCTGATTTTGCTTGCAAAGCTTTGTCTGCTATTCTGAACTGAATGCATGGTCAAGGGCTGGACATCCATGGTTGAGACATTCAGCAAAATTGCATATAACCCCTCTCTATTGAGAAGAAAGCAACCTTGCCATATAACTTGTCTCCTTACTGTTAAAGTCAAAGGAAGGCTTTGTTTGTCTCCTTCAGCAGCTCCTTTTTACTCTTAATTGCTTGGATTTTCTTTCTTTTTATACATACTCTTAGGTCACAAAATGATAGTGACAAAGAGCAGAGAGATTTGGAAAGAAGATTTCGAGAAAAAGAACCTGAAAGACAAAGGTATCGATTGGATGATGGCAGAAAGCATAGAACTCACTATGAGTTTGACAAGTTTATGAGAAGGAATGAAGAAGATCTGAAATGGGGGAAAGGATACAACCAAGACAGAGGAAAGAAAGGGAACTACAACTACAGCTTCACTGTGGAGGCAGTAGACAAACTGGGTAAAGAGGACAAGTGTGATGACATGGCATCCAAAAAGGAGCGCATAAGAAATAAGGTTCTTTTATTCATTTAGGATAATCTTTCATTAGTTAAATATGCTTCAAGATCACAGGTTTTAACTTGTGCAAACTCAGCATGATAATGCTTTTTCAGGAAGAAATCCTTTATCTCATTTTCAGTAAAACCCAGACTTCTTTCTGGGTTGTTGTCAGAGGACAACACAATAAGTTAAGGTTACAGGTCTGTGCTCGTTCATATTCACAATATATAGACGACTTTCTGTCTTCCTTTCAACCCTGTCATTTTTAGAACACTATTCTTGGAGCCTTGCATTTTATAAATGTATTAAAAATTGTTGCACTTCTGATCTGTAATGAAATTTAAAAACTGTGGCATATTAGTCTTTTAAAAATGTACTTCCATTACCCAGCTCATAAAGTAATTATATTATGGATTTGCCAGGCATTGCTTGGTAGAGCAACTATAAGGACTTAAATAGCTAATTCAGAGACCATTGTATTTAGAGGGTGTAAATGAGTGAATTCTTCAGTATTGCATACCTGCCAGTAGGAAAAGGCTGTCATTTCATTTGGATAAATTTATCCTCATAGCTGCTGTCAGGGAAAGAGTAGATGCAAAAACAGTGCCAGCAGAACCTGTAGCAGGGTTTGTAGTACAGCTGTCCCTTATTGTCTCCCAGACATATGGGCATCGTTTTTCTCAGGCTGTGCGATTTCATGGATGTGCCAGAGTCTTTTCAGGGTGTGGCTCTCCTTGTCACCCTCATTCGCTCTCCCTTGTGATCCTGGATTTTCCACAAAAGATGACTGAAACACTGTTTCAGGTAGAAATTTATTCTGCATGTGAAACTCTTCTTTCAAACCAGGTGACCGATGTGTGATGTGGGCTAAGGCTGACAAGATTAGACTGGTCATGTGCAGAATGAGTCTGTATGGAGTGTGCACAGAGCAAGTCCAAGTGGACTCGCTGTATGTGTGAGGAAGTCACCTGGTGCAAACACAGACAACCTGGTGCACCCTGCTCTTTGTTTATGCAAAGGTCAGCTGGGCAGGATGGGTGAACTTTATCTCCATATCCACATTAGCCACTTTCCACATACATCAGTGGCTCAAACTGCAGAACAATCAGAAAAATGGCTAATTCAGAAACAGGGAGATGGGAAAAACAGTCTTCCTCATGCTTGCCATGGTGTTCTTGAAATCTAGCAAATTAATCTGCAACCTTGGAACTGAGTGGTGGGTCTTGGGGGCCTTTTGGCAAGAGTTAAGAAGCTGCCTGCTTTTTATTTCTTTGCATCACACTTCTGGTAGCTCGCTGAGTCTCTGGATTAGTCCACACTTCGTGTTCTAGATTTGTTCCCTAAAAAAAATAAGCACTATGAGTAAAGTATTTTGCAGTCTAGTGACCTTTTTCCTTAGAATATTTATCACCTAGGTAAGATTAGGGGATGCATTTTACAACTTAGGTATAGAATTAACAATGCCAACACAAATTTTCAGTCAGAGATTGAGCTTCTTTCTGAAGTTTGTTAAGAATTAATTAGTAAATGGAAAATGTCCAGTGTAAGTAACATTGTGCCAGCTTTCCTGCAAACCGTGGGTTATGGAGTCTGTGGTAAGAAAAGTCATTTGGGCCCTTTATCATAAACTTTCTAATGGGTACTGCTTGTCAGAGGATCTAGTTTTATGCAGCTGTTTGTGATATAGAAAGGTATATGTTACACATTTTATACCACACTACAATGCACTAACTAGAATGATCTAGTTGTAAAGCCCAACAGTGAATCTTGACATCTGGTTTAAAGAGAAGGAGAAAAAAAGTTGAGCAAAAAAAGACAAAGGTGAAGGAAAGAGAAAGGAAAAGGGAAAATGCATACTGTGAATGAGAAAAAAGAATGAAAGAACAAAAGACCAGAATGACTTCAAATTATGATGGCAGTTGGAAATTAGTATAGTTTAATGTAGGAAAAGTTCAGTGCTCTGCCACTGTCTTCAAATAGGCTGTTTGCTAAACTTAATATGAGTCTTTGATCAAACAGCTCAGGTTTTGGTGAGCTTTCAGTTGCTCTATAACATTAAAAATTGGTATTTGTGAGAGTAAAATACTCTTACTAGTAAAAGACTTCTTAAGCAGAGTTTCTAAACAGTATGTTTCAAGAATAAAAAGTAATCTCAAGAGCTATGAAGTATCACCATTTGCAGGTTTGAAGTGTCTTTTCCTTGGAAACTGGCTCCTTCTTCCATTTTCCCATCATCAGATCAGCATGTGTATGATTGGGTCACTCACAGAATCTGCCCATGCTCAAATTTTACTTACTTTGTTTATTATCAGTGCATGAATTCCCTGCTCTCATAGCCAGTATGGGAAGGCATGATGAAGTAGGGCAATAACTATGCAATTTTTATTTTGATGTGTATAATTCAAATGTGCATTGCATGTTTAAATTGTGCTAATATTTGACGATCAGTTGAGGATAATTTTTTAGCTGCTGCCTGCTAAATTGTTCTCTGGCTTATCTTGGGCTTTTATGCTTATATTCAATATTTGTCATTGTCATGGGTGGGAGGGCTCTCCTGCCACAGTCATTCATCTGCAGAGTTGCAAGTGCACAGGCTGTTGTTGTTCTCAGTTGATGTTAGTGAAGGTAGCAACATTTTTCTTGTTTTACCTGTAATACCATGTTTGATAATTGTGTGCAATATTTCTTCTTGTTTATGTCAAATGTATTATAGGATCTTTAATTTTTACAGCTTTCTTCATTTATTGAAAATGCTTGGTTCCCAAGAATAGTGTTATAAAACAACACAAATACCGAATACTCAGTCAATTTTCGTTACACTCCATTTTTTTCCTGGGTCTTATGAATTGTAAAGTAATTTAACACAAAATCTACTTTCTTCATAAAGATTCAAAACTTTGAAATCCCACATGTGTGTCTCACAGAGCATTAACCACATCTCCTTCCTTCTAGGATCGCCCAGCCATGCAGTTATACCAGCCAGGAGCTCGCATCCGAACACATATGGGACCTACAAGTAAAACCTATGACTGCAGTGGGAAATCTTTTGAAGATGCTCTTGATAAAAAGTATGAGGCAGATAATTCAGCTGGATCTGAGAAGACTGAAGAAGGAGAATAAAACAAGCTGGAGCAAAGTCTTGTGAAAAGGGATGAATTTAAGATTCAGTGTCATGACAAAAAAATCCATTGGGCTGTTTCAGAACTCCACAGGCAATTGCACCAACAAAATTGTAATAGCTCTGCCTCTTACTTTCTGTAAAATAAAGGGAAGAGTGACTGGAAATATATAAAATATCTTACAGCAAAGGAATATTGTTGCGTTTTTACAAAAAGCAGCACAAACGCTATTTGCCTAATTTAAAAGCAGTTCAAATATTTTATTATATTTACCTTGAAGTAGAAAACCTCTAACAGTTTTAAAGGAGTATTTATATAAGACTTTACATAAGCTATTTCACCTTTTCAGCTCTAAAGAAATGAAATGTAAATTTGCATCAGTTTGAAATCTGAGGCACTTTAAATGTTTTTGGTGCATGACATGAGGGTCACAAGACCTCTTCCTGCAAAGAGCAGCAGCAGGGGCTGCTGCAGGGAGTTGTGGTCGGACTCAGTGTGACTGGCCCTGGGAGGAAGCTCTGGAGCCAGTGGTATTTGCAGGATGAGGCCCACAGTTTACACAGCTGTGAGGAATGACCATTGGTATCTGTACCTCATTGTGTTTACATTGTTTTTGAATTAACTATAGCGTCAGATAAGTGTTAGTAAAGTATGTTGTTAGAGATTGTCATTTTCTGAGCCACTTTTGCCTTTTAGTTTTTAATTGATTTCTTGTGCTTAAAATAGAAGAAAGCTAACGCAGACCTCAGCACTGGTTTTAATGAATTAGCTGTTTTTTATGGTTTTGACACTGACTTTTGAAAAAAAAAAAGTGGTTGTACAGTGATGATATTTTATATGCTAATGTTTCATATAAGTTGCAGTTACAGGATTTGAAAAATGTATGATAAATGAACATTCTCAGTTCTATTTGTTAAAAAATTAAACACACATGGATGTCAATTGAGCGCTACCATGTTGTAAGATCTAGGACAAATTCTGCCCTCTGATGCAGGCACGTGTACATATATATGTATATGTATATGTATATCTTTTATTGGTTTCAATGATAGCCATGTGTTGATGGAAAGGCAGAATATGTTCCATTTGTCTTTCATGGCTGAAAATTTCTCAGTTTTCTAAAACTGAGACCTGCTTTATCCCTGAAGTTAAATAGTAAGATACTAATTTATTTTTTCATCCTCTTTGAACATTTTACTAGCAAGCGTAACATCTAGTTGTTCTAGACTGAAAAATTATTTATTGTATTTTCCCAGATACTAAACATTAAATAGAATAAAAGAAAAAAGATTTTGACTATGATTTTGAGATGTGATGTTCTGCTATTTTTTATCTATTACTCCAGAAAAATTAAGTAAGATGTTATTGTGCTGCCTTGTATCCTTCAGAAGCAGATAAAATATGGCTAAGAAGAATTTTACTATCAAGCTACGTAAGCGAGCTGCCAAAATTACGTCAAGATTAAGTAAAACTGCTGCTAGAGAATCATTTGGGTTTAGTTCCATCTCAGTTAAGGAACTCTTGGGACAACTCATCTTATTCAGCAGGTACTGGCATCTGTTCCTTCCACATCCTGGGGGGAGGGGAGGGGCAGTAGAAAGTACTGGCCACGACAGCAGGATCTGACCATTTCTGTAGCCAACTAACACTTGTATGGCCGCCGGGGACACCAGGCATCCAGGGTGCACGGGAGCGCTGCCCGCAGGCTCTCTGCTAAAGTGTGACCCCGAGTGGAAAAGAAATGCATCCTGCCAACAGAGGAAACACCATCGCTGAGCTTCCACTCTCTGTGCTTATGGCCGTCTTGGGCAGTGCCAGCAGGACGTGTGGGAGCAGGGATCGGCTTTGGGATGGGAGCTTGTGCTGCCAGCTGTATCTTCAGGGAAGGCTGCCTGCTGGAATCGAGCATGTATCTCATGGTAATTCTGCAAAATACAATGACTAAAGAATCAGAACACATTTCCAAGTCCGCGGTCCAATCTCACCTGCTCAGGAATGCAGCAGGGCCTGAGCCTGCTTCCCTTGCTGGGGCAGCTGGGCTGGAGGAGCTGCCACCTGCTCTGTGCTAACTCGTTCTTTTATGCTTCTCCCGATTACAACAAATAAATGCAGGCTCACAGCCTGCCTTTGTGCGAACTCAGTGTGCTGTGAGAGCTTCATTGCCACAATAGTAACTTTGTTTTGCAAATTCAGCTTAGCTGAGAGACAGCATCCCCATGGAATGGGAATTGTGTCTGATTACATCACAGCTGACTTTGGTGCCATGTGTTTTCTTGCCTTTAAAATACAATGTTCTACGTTTAATAATTAAAAAATTTAAAAGATTGTGTTCTGCATTTAATATTGCCCACTCGATAGGTCATTGAATTTCTGTTGTCCTGTTTCTTGTTGAGTCCCAAAGTCTTACATTTAGGAATATGGAAATCACCCTGTCTGTGAAATGGAGATTGGGCTCCATTCTGTTGGGGAAACTGATTTGGAATGTCAGTATTCAGTAAATAAACCTGCATTTGTGCCTGATGCAGTTTTAAATAGAAGCTTATTCAATTCCAAAACATTGTACTGACATCACATTCAGTTTTCAAATACATTCTGTTGCTTCTTTTCATTTAAAACCAAATGGCAGTAAGTTGGTTTTGGAGAGTCTTTAGAGGTCAATGGCTCATCTCACCAGCTGTGGTTAAGCTAACACTGCTTTTCCTGCAGTTTCTCTGCTGGCTTCTACTTGCAGCATTAGTCCTGAACAGCCCAAACAAAAGCCTGAAATATTAACAGGACAAAACCCACTTACTATGCACAAAATGATATTGAACATCAGAATAAAACGTGATTAAAAAGGAAAAAAAGTACTTTCCTCCCCAAACCTGATGGAATGTTAAAAATCAGTGGGAAATATGATTTGTGAGTTGGGTGGTGCTGTTTAAGTCTTCAATGATGAGAGGAGAAACTTAAAATTCTCAAGTTATTTTTATTCATATTATAATGGTTTCATTTGGAAGAAAGAATATGTGAAACAAATGGGAAACCTATTGAGTCTTATCTGGTCATTTCCAACTGACTTAAAGGCATGCACTCCGTCTTCCCTGCATCCACTTGGGCTTTTCATTGAAGTTCTTCTTGAAGACTGAAAATGTCATCTTCTTATTACCAAGTGCTTGTTTCTCTCTTAACAGTTTAACTCTCTCAAACCTCTTCACTGCTACATAACTAAAAAATAAATATTTTCTAGATATATTTTGTGGTGTACACTTCATTAGGCCACATTCCAATCTCCTGAACATGTCCTATTTGCATATCTCATCTACAATTAGGAAAATAAAAGGGTCGTTACTGTTACATATATAAATATGGTATTTTGATTTAAATTGACGCAAACACAGAAGACATTGGACTGCAGTGTTCTTTGCTCAATTACAGCTAGCAACCTTGATTAGCGAAAAAATAAATACTCTCCGAGAGAGAGAGTAAAGACTAAATTCAGAGGGGTTTTATATGGTAGTACAAAAATGGCAGATTGACTCCTGGTCCATGCAGGATCCATAAACGCCTCCCAGCATGTACAGAAGGCAGGAGATATAAAGACATGCAGAAATTGAAGGTTCTTTTTTCTCCTTTTCTTTAAAAATGTTTATATATTCAAAAGTGAAATATGAATCTTCTGCATAAAACTTGAAGGTGGGATTTTTTGGGGTCTTAGAGCATCAAGGGCCCGGCCTGTTACTACTGATCTGTGCCCAGGTCTCTGTGTTGTGCTGCTTTCCAACTCTGTTATGCAGAAATGCAGATGGTTCTACTGAATGAAACTGAAGGGAAGTTCCACCTCACATTGTTTCTTAACAGTGAACTTGAATATGGGCACTGATACCTCACATTACCTCCTGGAAGTTCTTGCATGTTTTTGTCTGCTGTTGAAGGTCATTAGCATCCAGAAACAAGAGTATGTGTATAATTATGTTCTAAGGCATTCAGACAAGAAAATTGGGATATAAAAGGAAAAATGGAAACACTTCCAAGCTGAATACACTCAGTGTTGTTTCCTTAACTTATAATACTATTCTACAATACAAACATTAAAGTTGATTGTGTATTGAAAACTTTTAAGTTCCTTAGTTAAAAATCAAATAGCGAGGAAGAAAACACTTGGGAATACGTTACATAAGGTAGAAATGTATTCAGGAGTATTTAAGACATACTGCCAATGAATTGTGAGCTCTCCATAGCTACCATGTTAGGTAACAGGTTTGTTGCTCTATTAGTTACAGTCACTAGCACATAATAAGAAGAAAAAGGCAATTTCAAAAAGTAATTTAGAGGCCTAAGGGAAAGAATTAAATGAAACAAAATAACTGTCTTGTATGATTATACTCCATGTCTTCAAACTGTTAACATTTTCACTGAGTTCACAAGTGAATATGATCTTTTTTTACATTTTGCTTATGCAAAAAAAAAGATAATCTAGAACTGCAAACTATATTCAAGCATCTTTCAGAATAATATTAACTGAAAGGGGGAAGACCTGTGGAATTTTAGCATGATTTCATAAATCAAATGAAATCCCTAGATGTAGAGGAAAAAAAAGTTCTTAACAAGTTACAAAAAATGTTTAATCATACAGTACAGAAAAAGTCTATTAAAAAGAAAAAGTTATTCACTGAGGTGGCTTCTAGTGCTTTATGTATTCTCTATCTCTGTTTTCTAGTCCAATACTTGCTCTGTAATTGCTAATCCAGCAAAAAAATCTCCGTGGAGTTTCTTCACCTTCTTTGGGAAAACCTCTTGGCTAGGCTGAAAAGAAATCCTTCAAGTATTCCAAAATCACCTACAGATATCAACAGCATGGGAAAAGAAGAGAAATTTACTTAGTTTGGCCAAGAAGAATGTAGTAAATGGGGTACACCTGGTTTGTTTGGAATTTATTAATTGTTTGAGTCCATGCTAAATGGAAATTATTAGATAAACTACAGAAGCTAGAAATTAATTCAAAAACCGTGAGCTGGGTGAGAAGAGCTGGCAAACCAGAAAAAGACTAAGAACTCAGTATGAAATGAGAACGATAGTGAAAACAGGTTATTAGCTGGGTTTGGATTGATTTTACACACT